GGTGCTTTAAGGATTAAATTTTTATGCCAGAATAAAAATGTTTCTTATAAAATTTCTTGTTCAAAACTATCATCATAGGTATACGGCAGAATTTTAAATCACTTAAATCTCAATACAATGTCAAGCTAATTATAATTACCAAAAACTCTTATATTATATAATATATAATAATATTTTATTATAATATAATATAATATTATACAGTGTGGAACTCACTTATGAAATAAAATTCGTTATTCGTTGAGAAAAGATTTTTATGAAAAACGCCCGGACACGTAAACTTTAGTTTTTTATTCCAAATCTTATAATGATAATTTTAAATTTGATGCCCCCACCATTTCCCCCCCCGCACATTAGGCACCCTTATCTTAAATAACAACCCCACTTTTTTCATCGAAAATTGATAGTGCACATTTTTTTGAGTACGACGATACCACATAAGTAGGGTTTAGTAACTATAATTTCACCGGCACACAAAAAAAAAATTTGTTTGAACCTGAAGTGAGAATAACCAAAATTTACGTATTTTTGTGTGCTGAAACAGAATCCGCCATCAGTTTTTTTATATCTCATCAAAATTTTCAATAGATCGCCATTTTTTTTGTAAAAACATTATTTTCACTCAAAAATCAATAGACTTTTATTCTTGGTGAATCTGTGCATTCTTTGAGTATTTGTTTGTGAGTGGTATTTCTTCTCTTCGCAAGATTCAGAACGCTATGTTCAACTAATATTTCATCTGAGCTGGAGGAGGTTCAAATATTTAAAATAAATCCCAAAATCAGAAATAGGCACACATTCTCATGTGATTCCGGAATCTTTTTCCTCTATTTCAATGAGTCCATCCCACTGATTTCGGGTTGTCATCGCCTACTATATCGTTTTCTTTTATTCTCAAAAGATCGATGGAGTCCTGACCGCTTTTTCCCTCGCTGCTCAACGTCCCGCTTTAGCATCCAGCAATAGTCCGCCATCATATTAACGTCCCACTTGCCTTGATACCTTTTTCCATCGTCTTTATGTCCTGATGAAATCGCTCCCCTTGTTCCTCACTGACATCACCAAGGTTCTCTGGGAACATTTCAAGGTGCGAGTCTAAAAAATGAAGCTTTATATTCATGAGGCAACCCAACCTCTGGAAGTTATTTACCATCCTCTGGACAATATCCTGGTAATCCAGGGACTTGTTATTTCCAAGGAAATTGTCAATCGTCTCCTTAAAACTCTGCCAAGCAGACTTCTCCACATCCGTCATGCTCCCCTCAAACTCCTCATCCCGCAGCAGTTTTCTTATTTGTGGTCCATCAAATACCCCAGCATTAATTTTCGCTTCAGATATTTGAGGAAATTTGGACCTTATAAATTGAAAACAAGAGCCTTCTTTGTCTAATGCCCGCACGAATTGCTTCATTAGGCCCAATTTTATGTGGAGGGGTGGGAATAGTATTTTGGAACGATCTACCAATGGTTTCAAAATAACATTAGCAGACCCGACTTCTAGGGATTCTCTTGCTGGCCAAAGTTTTTTTTTATAATGGTTGTCCCGATCCCTACTATCCCAGTAACAGAGGAAACAAGGATATTTTGTGAAACCAGACTGCTGTCCGAGGATTATCCCGAGAATTTTTAAATCCCCGCAAATCTGCCAATTTTGATCAGTATATTTGATTTTCTCCAAAATGATCCTCAAATTCGTGTAATTCTCCCTCATAACTGTAGAGTAGCCAACTCGGGTAGAGGCGTACTGATTTGAATTATGGAGCAAAACAACCTTTAAACTCTGTTTTGAGGAGTCAATAAATAATCTCCAGCTCTCTGCATTGTAAATATTTGGTTTAAACTCATCAATCAGACTTTTGATATCGGTACAATATACAAAGTCGTGTTCTTCATCTTTGGTAAAATACTGTCTGAAAGTTTCCTCTCGATTTCGGTATGAAGTTATCTTGACTCCTTTTTCCAAATTATGTTTTCGCTTCATGGCACTCGCCAATACTTCTGCACCATCTTTCGACAGCCCCAAATCCCTTATCAGATCATTTAGCTCCACCTGTGACCAATTTTTCAGAGGGATTATCTCTGTTCTCGTGGCATCGTTCTTCGCTTATCTCACTTCCTGAGTCTTCCTCTCTCTCAGAATGATCTTCTTGTTCTGAATTTTGTTCATATTTAGAACAACAGGGTCAGGAAATTTCATCAACTTCCATTTTTTCAGTGGGAAAACAGCTGATAGCTCCAATTGCTGAATTTTTATGAATTGGTTTCTGATAGGATGACACTTCTGGATAAACTATTTTGGTCTTTGTCACAACATTGAATTTGTTTGTATTCGTCATACAAAAATAGCAATCTTATTTCAGTTCAGGCTTCCTCCACTTTGCCGGGACTGAAAACTTGATTTCCTGCCTATCGCTATTATTTTTGTATCGATGAAGGGAAGAATAGCACGCAACACAAGTTATTTTTGGCACCCACTCCATGTGTTGATCTTTACCAGCAATACCGAAACAACTTTCATACAAATCGATAACTGCCTTGGTGATCTTTTTCCGGTTTTTCCCATGCCTCTCCAGGGCTAGGGAGCTTTCTGACTTTGATGAGGACCATGTCAACTCATCGTCAGACACACTACGGCTTCATCCTCACTCTCTAATGTCCCTCTGCAAGGCAGTGCGCCTACACTGGTTTCGATACCCCATGGCACTAGGGATGAATCATTCCACACATCCTTTAAAAGGCAGTTGTCATCAGCCCTTCATGTCAAGAGGTAGCAGAATTCAATCCGTAAGTTTGCAACAGGAATTTTTAAGCCCAACGCTAAATGACCATGCACATAACCTAAAGTACCCTGGCAGTTGAACGCGTATAGACCTTTCGAGCTAAGTTGACTGCAATTTGAGGAATCTCCCAACTCGAATGCCGAATTTTGGCATCTATTTGCATGAAAAAGATATTTAATGTCCTTGCCAAAGTAAAATTCCCTTAAGTCTTTGGAATAACAAGAACAGGCAATTTCTGTTCTAGCTATTTAAGGCTGCTTAAACCTAGTTCCGTTAGAAGGATCCTTGGACGTGGAATTCCAATGTTTCTGTGAGAGTTAAGGAAAAATTTTGAAATAGAGTATCAAAATGCCCAGAAATAAATAGCACTCACAAACAATAATTGTTTGTGAGTGCTATTTATTTCTGGGCATAATTTCTGGGCATAATTTCTGAGAATAATCAAAATTAACGTATTTTTGTGTGCTGAATCAGAATCCGCCAGCGGTTTTTCTATATCTCATCAAGTTTTTTAATGGATCACCGATTTTCTTTTTGAAAAATCATTATTTTCACTCAAAAATCAACAGATTGTTATTCTTGGCGAATCTTTGCATTCTCCGAATAATTATTATTCGGAGAATGCAAAGATTCGCCAAGAATAACAATCTGTTGATTTTTGAGTGAAAATAATGATTTTTCAAAAAGAAAATCGGTGATCCATTAAAAAACTTGATGAGATATAGAAAAACCGCTGGCGGATTCTGATTCAGCACACAAAAATACGTTAATTTTGATTATTCTCACTCCAGGTTCATACAAAATTTTTTTTTTGTGTGCCGGTGTTTTCAATACAGGGTGAATATTTAAAAATTACAAGTATGAATTTTTTATTGTTATTCTATGATTTAGTTTCTTGTGTTGTGGCTTTCGCTATTTAGATTTTCATGTTTTTTCGCTTTGTTATTGTTTTTTGCTAATGCCATTTTTTGCGTTTGTCCTTTTTGCATTGTTTACATTTTTTGCATTGTTTAAATTTTTATTATTAATGAAACATTTTGCGCTTTACTTATTGAAGTATTTTGTTAGATCCAAGTATCAGTTAATATTTTGGTTAAAAAATGCGACACTTGACAGAAACTCTGCGAATACAAATATTAATGTTGATTGGTTACGGTGATATGTGCGGATCAAAACAGCAAGATATCTGGATATGCTAAGAGAACAAGTTGTCCCAACTTTAGCAGAGTTGTTTCCAAATCCATTGGAACCTAATCTTCCCAAGGAAAGGATATGGCTTCAACAAGACGGTGCCCCACCCCACTATGCTGTTCCTGTACGGAATTATTTAAATGACACCTTTCCACACATGTGGATCGGAAGAAGAGGTTTTATAGAATAGCCAGCAAGATCACCGGATCTAACACCTCTAGACTTTTTTCTATGGGGATATCTAAGAAACAGGGTGTTTAAAACACAACCTATTTAGATGAATTAAGAAACAGAATTACTGGAGAAATAACACCGGAGGTTTTAAACAGAGTGCGGGAACAATTTCACAGTAGATTACTAAAGTGTCAGGAAGTGGACGGGGGACATTTTGAACATTTATAAGAATAAAGAACAGTTTATTTTTGAATTTTTAATTAATTTTAAAATAAAAAGTTTAGTTTTTTAATTTGTCATTATACTTCCCCCCTGTATTGAAAACTGTTTACTAAACCCTACTTATATGGTATCTTCATACTCAAAAAAATGTGCACTATCAATTTTCGATGAAAAAAAGTGGGGTTGTTATTTAAGATAAGGGTGCCTAATTTAAAATTATCATTTTAAGATTTGGAATAAAAAACTAAAGTTTAATTGTCCGAGCGTTTTTCATAAAAGTCTTTTTTCAACGAATAACGAATTTTATTCCATAAGTGATTTCCACACTGTATTAATGATAAGCGGTTGAAAATTAGGTGGTATTAAATTAATTGTTACTTCGCTACACAGTCGCAATTAATTAATCACGATGCGTCACTCTTTTGTTTGCGGATTTCGAAAGCGAACAAAGAACTAAAGACCGCAAGAAGCAAATAAAGGTCTGCCAAAGATGTTATTATGTGACGTCCTTGCCTAAGTCTTTGAATTGGACCAGTGTAAGATTCTGCATCTGGTAATTTCAAGAAAAAATGAACTTTTGATGGAATTTTAGTTTCAATATTTTTTTTCGTGTCCCTGTCAGACTTTGTTTCTATGACGTTCTTTTCTTTGCAGGTTTTAAAAGCCAACAAGGAACGCCAGCTCCTCTCTCGTCTTCAAAAACGCGAAATAGGTTTGGCAACGATGCTTCTCCGCGTCGTTGTTGTCTTCTTCATCTGCAACTTGTTGCCTCTAGTCATCAACATCATAGAAACCTTCGAGCTGGACCCGGACATAGACCTCGGCATGATGATCTACACCAGCAACCTGCTGGTCACCATCAACTCAAGCGTGAACTTCATCATTTACGTGATTTTCGGCGAGAAATTCAAGAGACTGTTTTTGGAGTTGTTCTGCAATAACTCGCTATTTAACAGTTGAAGAGACTCGCCTGATATGCACGATGATAGTTTTATTTCGAATGGCGACAGGATAAGTCTTAGATTGCAGAGACAGAGCAGGACTGGGTTCACAGGTAAATATTAAATTGTACCAAAAATTATATTATACATGTATACAGGGTGAGTCATTTAACTTGAAACTTTGAAATATCGCAGATTCGGATCATTCAAGTTAAAATAGGTAGATTTTGTCTAAAACATTTTTTCATATTTGTAATAGATAGCGCTGTAATGGAAAAAATCAATTTTATTGGATTTTTCTTCTATATACACGGTGGTCAAAACTTAGGTATAGGACGAACAAAAATGCCAACCAAAACTGATAGCATATTTTGATTACAGACCCTTTTGGTAACACTAACATATATTTATCAAAATCCCAGCTGATCCTATTTTAAAGTTTTGCAAACTTTTTTGTTTTTCTATTTCTATATACATTCACAGGCAAAATAATCGATCCACACAAATTTTCGATGAATTTCAATCGCAAATAACTTTTTTATTTGATGTCGAATTTAAACGAATATTAAAGAATATTGTAGATAAATTAATGGACAATCGCTCACATTTTAAAAAATTACTAAAAAATAGACGTAAGTTTATAATATACAGGTTTAAACAAAAAGATGTTTAAGTTTAAGACACTCTGTAGAGTGGCAAAACCGTATATTGTTCTAAATAAAGTATTATTTATTAGGGTAAAGTGGGGGAATGACGACTAGCGGGTAATAACGATCATCAAAAGTTTCATAGTAAGGTAATATTTATGTAAAATATTTTAGTAGCGTCACCTAGCCTTTAGTAGCCTTACCTAACCAAAACAGTCGGTAACCAGAAATTCTACATTGGCTTCAGTCAATTCGTGTTTATTTAAGCAGGGTAAATTCTTGTAATATTTTCAAGTATATAATTAGTTGTTTTGTTATTATTATTGAATACCTGTTAATTTTAGTTTTTTATGAATTTAATAAATTTTTTTATAGCAACAAAAGTCAAATGTCTTATAGCATCACAAGTCAAATATACCTGGTTGCGATTTTTCAGCACTTGGTCGTAATTAGCCCGTTACGTGGGAAATGACGACCAAAAGCACTTTGTTAAGAATTTTTTTTTTGAAAAACTATTCGAATTGATGCATGAATAATCTTTAGACTTTAGTCTTTCTATTCCGATTTTCAAAAAGTAAAAATATTGGTTCAAAATTATTTTATGGTTAATTTTTCTTAGGTGGTCGCCATTTCCCCTCTCTACCCTAAGTCACATCTATTCTTAACAGTTTTGTTTTTGGTTCACCTCGATATATTTATCTTTGTGAAAAATATGGATTTTAAAAAACATTCTAATTTCCAATATTTTTCTGTATGAAGAACTAAGGTTGCTATGGTCCATCCATAGGCTATGGAGAATGACAGTGACAGTTTTGTTGAATTATCACATACAAAGCTATCAAATTGATTTTTGCAAATTAATGTTTTAATTTTGAGGTGTCTTCTTACTTTAAACAATGGATATGTCTCCGACTGATGTTACCAGAGCCATTAATTTAATCCAGGATGGACGGTCACAGTATTACGTGGCAAGTGTTTTAAACGTCACAAGAAGTAAAGTACAAAGGGCAACATCAGTCGGAGATATTTTTAAAAGTACCTCAAAATTAACACGTTAATTTACAAAAAACAATTTGATAGCTTTTGAAAGCTGTATATGACATGTCCAAGTGTGGGATGATTCAACAAAACTGTCACTGTCATCTTCCATAGGCTATGGATGGATCATAGCAACCTTAGTTCTTCATACCGGAAAAATATTGGAAATTGCAATGTTTTTTTTTAAATCCATATTTTTTACAAAAATAAATATATCAAGGTGAACCAAAAACAAAACTGTTAAAAATAGATGTGACTTGATAAATAAAACTTAATTTAGAACAACATACGGTTTTGCCACTCTACAGAGTGTCTTAAACTTATAGTAAAAAACATATTTTTGTTTAAACCTGTATATTATAAACGTACATGTATTTTTTAGTAATTTTTAAAATGTGAGCGATTCTCCATTAATGTATCTACAATATTCTTTAATATTTGTTTAAATCCGAAATCAAATAAAAAAGTTATTTGCGATTGAAATTCATCGAAAATGTGTGTGGATCGATTATTTTGCCTGTGAGTGTATTATTTTGCAATTATTGTGCTAAAACTACCTGTACAATTTTAATAAAATTAAGCAAAATAATAAACTTTGTATCAATTAAATTACTTTACTCCCCAGTATTAATTTATTGAGTCACCTATTATTTTCTACCACTTAAGACAAAACATAACAAAAAAAAAGATTTATATCTTAAATCATTTTTTTAACAAAAAAGTTTGTCTATGAAATAATTACAACTTGCAAATTTTGTAAAACAATAATTAAGGTGGTTATGAAAAAAATGCTATACGTTATAACGCAAGTGACATTTTGCTTTAGTTGTTCATTTAATGTATACTTTATAATGTTAAAAATAGTATTCTAAAATGAAAATTCAACCGAAATTCAAGTTAAGCCATGAAGAAAATCGAAAGAAGGTATGTGCTGGCTGTTGAGGCAAAATCGAAAAATTCAGAGTTTAGGGTTTCTGAGAAAATATAAAAATTATTGCAGACTTTTTCAAACGAACACTTTAACTTAAGTGATTCAAAATTACCTACTTCAATATGGTAAAAACGGTATTTTTCCATAGCCACAATTGCCATATTTTCAAAATTTAGAAATTTCTAGAGAATTTCGCGGCAGCCAAGAATATATGTTCTTATCTGCAAAATGGCCAGATATAAAGGGCATAAAAAATTATTAAGGGAAGAGGACGGACGAACGAACTAAAGTTTTGATATGCTCTTCCTTTCTAGGGGATATCGCTACATGTAAGAAGCATGTTTGAACAGAGACTGAAGAATTTAAAAATACTGTTTCCATGTTAAAAACAATTCCATGTAAAACCCAAGAAAAAGTTTTACTGAAAATTTAAGGCAAGCAGTAATCGATTTTGCTTCAAAGAATCTTTAGTTATTTATTAGTTTTGTATTAGATACCTTAAAACAATAAATAAGATATTGCAAACTGTATTTTACATTATTTTGTATTTATAATGTAATTTATCCATATTTTAGTCATGTATCTGCCAAATTTTTAAAAACATTTGATAATGGTACTAGAGTATTTTATCGAAATGGCATAAACAATTTTTTAAATACTAAGAAATATGCAAAACTTTAATAAAGGATCAGCTGGGATTTTGATAAATACATTTTTGTGTTACCAAAAGAGTCTATAATCAGATTATGCTATCAGTTTTGGTTGGCATTTTTGTTCGCCGTACTTAAGTTTTGACCACCGTGTATATAGAAGAAAAAACCAACAAAATTGATTTTTTTCATTACAGCGCTTTCTATTATATATTTTTGTTCGTACGATTCTGCTATAATTTTTCTATATAAATATCACTTTTTTCGGTAATAATTATCTTATTAAATTAAATCTGATACCCACAATTTATTAACTAATATTTAAGTTTTCTTTGGTTTAAGTTTTATACATTATTTAATTCGGTGATAATTAGCAATTGCGCACCATGGTCACTTTTTACCTACCAGCATTAAATCTTTAAATTTAAAGGATTATTGTACTATTTTTAATAAAAATACCTCATTAAAGGTAAAAAAGTTAATAGTTTTTATTTTGTTCAATAACTCATCTGATTTTTTGTCAAGGTGGGGTAATAAGGTTTCGCGGAAATACCCAATAGTAATAATTATTTTTACTTTACACGATGTTTCTTCTTCTTGAATTTATCCAAAACGATTTATTTTATGCAAAAACGTAGAAAAAACTGGTTTTTAGGTTTTTGATTTACGATACAAACAAACATTAATTTTTAAATTTCCACTTAATAATGCAGTACCTACCTATAACATAGTTTACAATGTATAAGTAAAGTTTTTAATTTTATTTTACTTTCAATCAATGTTTTGGAAATGTTCTAAAATCCTATTTTTCCCTAAAGCAAAGTTCCTTTTATGTTGCCGATATGAAGAAAAGTTGTTTAGAATACCAAATTTGAAAGTCCTCTGCAAACTAATTTTGTTTTTCTACTCCCACCTTTAAAACGCCCTTTATCGTACATGTTTCCATGACACTAAGTGACCTTTTAAATACACATTGACAAGTTGTGGCCTTATGGCGCTTTAGTCACGGGCTGAAGTTAGAAACAGGTTTTTAGTCACGCGCTGAAGTTAGTTTTAAGTTAGTTGACAGTTGTCAAATGTCATACAATCGTTAAAATAAATTGCCTTTCTTGTAAAATAATACTAAATGTGAAAATTATTTTATTATCTCAATACAAAAATACAAAAGTATTAAATAGTTTCTCAACGCCAATATTTGAAAAGTTTATATGAACATTGTACTGACCTTTTAATTTCGCCGGCAGTAAACTATAACTTAAATTCGGACACGGACTCCACTGTAAAGTGCTCATAAAACATTTTCTTTACTTTTACTGTGAAAAACTGTCAATTTTCAAGAAATACATTTCGATTTATAACCTTTATAATCTGCGTTTATAAAATAAAAAAAATTTACATTTGGCCGTGACACACAGATTCCCCTATTGTTTCATAGATGGCGCTCTATACAAATTTTTGATTTAAATCATTTTAAGATAATGAGTATTTGTCGTAGAAAAAGTATAATATGCACCTCGTTTATAAACTTTTCTATACACTTATTAATTTAAGAACTCGTGCCTAAATTAAATTCGTGTATAAAATGGCGGTTATCAAACTTGATACATAATAAACTATTTTATTTTGTCAAGATAGTGGGTAGCTTTTTGATAATAGATACGTCAAAAACTTATTTTTTGGAATAGTTATTTTATTATATTTAGAATTAATATTTTCTTAATAAAACAAATTGTATAAATAACAATATTAATCT